AAGCAGGGGGCGGCGGATCGAAGACGCCTACGGCGAATCACCGCCGCCCCCTGCCTTTTTGGAAGCGCCTATGTGGCCGAACGTTGAGGCCAGACCTGCCAAGCTATCGGACCACGTGTTCCCCGAATCGGTTTGGAAAGCCTTCGGGGAACACGTGGGCATCTTGAAGGTCATCTTGGCCGTCTTGGAGGCCTCTTGGGCAAGCTTTGGGCGATCTTTGGGGCTTTTTGGGCCGTCTCGGGCCAGCTTCGAGCCAACTTCGGCCATCTTGGTGGGTTCCTGGCACGTCTGAAGCCGTCGGAAGCCGTTTGGGGGGCCTCTATGGGCCGACTTGGGGCCCGCTTGGAATGCTCCAGGGCCGTCTTGGAGGCCATCTTGGGCGTCTGGGAGGCCATCTTGGGCGTGTTGGAGGCCTCTTGGGCCCTCTTGGGGCCCTCTAGGGGCCATCTTGGAGGCCACTTGGGCCATCATGGGGCTCTCTTGGGGGCCTCTTGGGCGATCTTGGGGGCTTCTTGGGCCGTCTTGAGCCGTCGGAGAGCCGAAAAGGCGCAAATGCCAAAATCCTTCAAAAACCAAGGAAAATCAATGATTTTGGCCTCTTCGGACTCTCCTGGAGGACCTCTTGGAGGCCTCTTGGGCCGTCTGGGAGGCCTCTGGGGGGCCTCTTGGGCCGTCTTGGGCCGTCTTGGACTCTCTTGGGCCGTTTTGGAGGCCGTCTTGGACCATCTCGGGCGGACTTGGAGGCCATCTTGGGCCATCTTCGCGATTTTTTGAGGATGTCCCGAGCGAAACGGCCGTTTTTGGGCATTGAGAGATGGGTTTTGGGCAATTTGCGGGTGGCCGGCGGGACGGGCCGAAGCCCACTGGGGAGTTCTTTTAGAAAAAGAACCAAAACCAAAACCTGAAACGTCCAGCACGCCGTGCACCCCTGCAAGCAGGGGGCGGCGGATTGAATGGCCTTCGGCCCATCCCGCCACCGTGCCGAGGTTGTGGGTATGAGGCCTCTTGGATGTTCGTTGGGATCTCTTGGGAGGCTCTTCGCGGGTCTCTTTGAAGCAGCTTCGAAGCCTCTTGGGGATGTTTTGGGCCCGCTTGAGGCGTCTTTTGGGCCTCTTGGGGACCTCTTGGGGCGTCTTGGCGATTTCTTCGGGACCCTCGTGGGGGCCTCTTGGGGCCTCTTGGAAACCTCTTGGGGCCTCTTGAAGGCCGCTTGGGATGGAAGGCTCGAATTTTCGGTTCGGGCTCCCCTTCTCGGGCCCTCTTAGCGCCGGCTTGGGGCTCTCTTGGGCCGTCTTGGGCGCCTCTTGGGCCGTCTTGGGAAACTCCAGGGCCGTCTTGGGGGCCTTTTGGGAGCCTCTGAAGCCGTTTGGGACCGTCTTGGAGGTCTCGTGGACCGTCTTCCACGCCGTAATGGTCGAGAAGTCGTAGATGCTAAACATGTACGCTTTCTGGTGCGAATTTGACGATTTGGCCTCTTGGGGCCCTTTCGGGGGTGTGTTTGGATGCCTCGTGGGACGTCTTGGAGGCCTCTTAGGCTGTCTTGAAGCCATCTTTGGAATGATCTTTGGGCGTCTCGGGGCCCTGGTGGACCGTCTTCGGCGCCTCTTGGAGCCTTCTTGGTCCGTGTTGGGGCCCCAGGAGTCGGCCCAGGAGAGCCTCGGGAACCCCTGGCGCCTTCAGATTCTATTGGGGGGGGGGGCCGATCCCTGTCGGTTTCCTGGTGTGAGATAATTAAGATCGGCATAGATGTATCTTCATACATGCATATATGGATATATATATATATATATATATATATACATATATATATATGTACATCTACATGTAGATAAAAAATACACGCGATGGCGAAAATGTATGCGTATCCACTGCTCCCTGGCCAGGCCCATCGTGAGCCCGGCGGCGGCGTGTACACCACGCCTCGGCCTGGGAAGGGCCCGGCCAGGGAGCAGTGGATACTCCGAGTTTCCGAGTAGGCATCGGGGGGGCGCCACCCCCGCCAGCCCCACATCGACCCCCGTCGCGGGCAGCCACCGCACGCCGAAGGCGCTCCGACCCCCGTCGCGGCGCGACGACGAGGCGAGGCTGACCCCCTGTCGGGGGAGTAGCCCCCCCTGCTGATTGGTAAACCCGGAGCAGGTGCAGGTGTCGTCGACCGAGTCATCCACGCCCTCGCTCTTTTGACTCGGGGGCGTGATCCCGCGGATGCGCGGTCGCATGGGCGCGCTGCGCGCGGGGCAGTCCCGGAAGCAAGGGCCCCGTGGACCCGCGAGGCCACGAGGCCCAGCGGACCCCGCGAGGCCGTGGCTGTGGCATACGTCTTTTTCCTCCTGCGCTGGCCACCAGGGCGGCGCGGCGGCCGAAGAGAACGGACTCGACTAGAGTTAAGTCGGGCATGTCCCTCTACAGCAGGAAGGTTCAAGAAATAGTCCGAAGATGATACGGGGACGGTGTTGCCAATTGTTGTTGGACTGTTGTTCGACGATCTTCGTCCAAACTCCGCCTGCAGGAGGACATGACCTAAGACTGGAGAACCAAACGACGGCACAGACGTACACGTCGGTCGGAAGAAGTAGGTAGAAACATTAAGTAGGAAGGCGGATGTAGTAGGTTGGGTCCAGGATCTCCCAGAGAATACCAAAACACAGCAAAAGCATGTCGATGCTTGAAGTAGAAAGGCGCTTGAAGTAGATTGGGATCTGGGAGTCCAAAAATACCTGCTTTCAACGACCGGCGTGCAACAGCTCGGAGGTCCGCGCGGATCTCTTGGCTTGGCGCTGGCGCCGCGCCTCCGGCGCCGCCGCTGGCGCGCTCCGCGCGCCAGCGAGGGGGATCCGGCGCCAGCCCGAGAAGTCGGCGCGGGCCTCCGAGTTCTCTGAAGGGGCCCAGGGACACACAAATAAATACACACAAACAACAGGATCCCCCATATTTTCCTATATTTTCTGGTTTTCTGTCTTCCCCCCCACTTCCCATATTCTCCCATATTTTCTAGGGAATCAACGATTAATTGTGTCTGTGTGCGATTTCCTCTCCTCTTATGCTTATGCCACTGTCAGGTCGGGCGTGTCCTCCTACAGGCGGATTTTGAAGGAAAATCACGAATGTAGTCGGAGCATGCGCAAAAATAGTGCAGAGATGGTCGAAAAGTCGTCCCCAGACCGTTTCCTGACTGTTCTTGACTTTTCCTCCTGCAGGGGGACATGCCTGCCTGAAGCGTACGCCACTGCCTGCCCCCATAATTATGGACACCCGTGGGGCCCGAGGGCGCTGGCGATGCGCCGCCGGGAGGCAGGCTCGGGGAGAGCGGGGACGAGCAGTTTCCGCGCACGCCGGCCGCGGAGAGCAGGCTGTCCGAATTCGCCAACCTCGCGGGGAGGCTATGTACACATTGAAAAACTTCCAGCTGCGAGAGGGCGCGCCGATACGTCGCCCCGCGCAGCCTCCGTACCGGCGCCACCTCTCGGGAGAACGATCCCGTCGAGAAGCGCGGTCGAGTGTCTGTGCAGACCGATGCATGCGGAGTCCTAAAGGGCATCAGAGCGGAGCGGGGGCCTGGCACTCCAATCTGACTTGAGCGCAACAAGCTGGGCGCAACGACCTCCTGTCCAAGTGTCCGCATGCAGCGACACAAAAAGCCGAGGCCTGGACGCAACGCCGAGAACAAGAAATCCCACAAGCACATGGAGAAGGGATACGTTCAAAGTGAGCACAGGTTTCTCGAAGCGTCATCAGATTTACGCCTTGGAGCATGCTTCAAAACTCCTGGCAAAAGTTCAGCGACAAAAGACCTCAGATAACTGAATGAGGGTTCCATCCGGGCTACTCCTCCTCCATTCCTCTTCCTGATAGATAACTCCTCCATGTCGCACCCCGAGGCCAGTCGAAAGGGCGGGCGGGGCGTTTTGCTTGAGACTGCCTCACCACGTATGACCCTGATGCTTCAAAATCGACAACAGCTTCACGAATGGAGGGCGGGTGGTTTCCAAAATGTGGCCCTCGCCTCAGCGCCGCGCATATTCGTTTTGAGAATTTGCAAGAGCTTCACGGATCGAGGGCGTGTGGTTTTCAAAATGTGGCTCGCGCCTTAGTGCCGCACACATTCGTTTTAAACATGTGCAAGAGCTTCACGGATTGAGGGCGGGTGGTTTTCAAAATGTGACTCTCGCCTTTAGCGCCGCGGACATTCGTTGTACAAAATGCAGGAACTTCACGGATTGAGGGCGGGTCGTTTTCAAAATGTAACTCTCGCCTCAGCGCCGCGAACAGTCGTTGTATATTGCAAGAGCTTCACGGAATGAGGGCGGGTGGTTTTCAAAATTCAGCTCTCACCTTCAGCGGCGCGCACATTCGTTTGAAAAATTACACGAGTCTCACGGATTCAGGGCGGCTCCTTCTGAAAATGTGGCTCTCGCCTTAGCGCCGCACAAATTGGTGGAGTCTTGGGTTTACACTTGTCCTCCTCCTCCTCCTCCTCCTCCTCCTCCTCCTCCTCCTCCTCCTCCTCTTCCTCCTCCTCCTCCTCCTCCTCCTCCTCCTCCTCCTCCTCTCCTCCTCCTCCTCCTCCTCCTCCTCCTCCTCCTCCTCCTCCTCCTCCTCCCGCCTCCTCCGCCTCCTCCGCCTCCTCCTCCTCCTCCTCCTCCTCCTCCTCCTCCTCCTCCTCCTCCTCCTCCTCCTCCTCCTCCTCCTCTCCTCCTCCTCCTCCTCCTCCTCCCTCCTCCTTCCTCCTCCTCCTCCTCCTCCTCCTCCTCCTCCTCCTCCTCCTCCTCCTCCTCCTCCTCCTCCTCCTCCTCCTCCTCCTCCTCCTCCTCCTCCTCCTCCTCCGCCTCCTCCTCCTCCTCCTCCTCCTCCTCCTCCTCCTCCTCCTCCTCCTCCTCCTCCTCCTCCTCCTCCTCTCCTCCTCATCCTCCTCCTCCACCTCCTCCTCCTCCTCCTCCTCCTCCTCCTCCTCCTCCTCCTCCTCCTCCTCCTCCTCCTCCTCCTCCTCCCTCCTCCTCATTGAGCGCTCTTGCTCAGGGCGCGGCTGGTCTGGGCGGACCTCGGGAGCGCGCGTGCAGCACCCTTCGGGTGGCGACCGACGCTCCTGGGGCATGCCGGCGGGAGGTGCAGCACGAGGGAGCCAGCACTGAAGGGGCCCCAGGACACACAAATAAATACACACAAATAAAAAGATTCCCCATATTTTCCCATACTTTTGGGGTTTCTGGCTTCCCCCCCACTTCCCATATTTCCCCATATTTTCCTGGGAATCGACGATTCTTTGTGTCTGTGTGTTTTTGTTCCCTCCTGAAGCACGCTTGCGAGGCGCACGGGGGGGGCGCGGCAAGGACACCGACCGATGGGCACCTGCTGTGAGGGAGCCTCTTACGGTCAGGCGCTTCTGTTTCTCGACGACGGTATCGGTGATTCGCATCGCCCCCCTCCGTGCTCCCGGCCTCCGCGTGCGGCTGTCTGGCGACTGCCGAGTGGCCCGGCACCGACTTCTACCAGCGCTGCCGTCGGCCTCTTACGGTCAGGAGCGTGCTCAGCGCGTCGCGGCGACGGCCCCAGGCCGCAGCCTGGTGGGCCAGGCCTGGCGGCGCGACACGCTGAGCCACAGGTCCTGACCGCAGTTCAGACATCAAGAGCCCTCTGGGCAAGCCTGAGCGTGGTGTATGGGGCAGGGGTCGACCGAAGCAGGGCTTCTCGTCTTCGTCGTGTCTTCGCTCTCCCTCGTCCTGCCTCCCATGCGCCCCCGCTGCAAGACGGCATCGAAACGAAAGCGGCCCACGACACCGCCCAAACGCCGCTCAGGTCGACCCCTGGTGTGGAGAAGAAGCCGCCGGCAGTGGAAGACTGGCGGCGTCCGGTCGGGCCTGCCCCCGCCGGGCGCCTCGCGGGGGCGTGTCCAAGAAGGGGGCGCCCAAGAGGGGGCAGCGCAGACCGTTGCCGGCGGCATTGTGCGCGGCCCAGGGGGAGGCTGGGGACGTGCAGAGGTGAGGAGAGGCGCCATGAGATCTGAGGATCGGCCAGGCGTAGGAGTGGCCCTGGGTAAGAGTGACCTCTGGTGCGCAGCTGTTGGGGGGCGCGAGGGAGCCAAACCTCAGGGCGCGGGCCGCTTATATCGCATCGCGCTCGGCGATCGGGGGGAGCCCGATGATCCCGCACCAAAGGTCACTCCAACGAAAGGTCACTCTTACGTGTAGTCGAGAGGAGAGATCCTGGCCCCCGCCATGATATCCACACACACACAGTCCCAAACCCCCGGCGTCATGATTCTCATGACGTCGGCCCCCAACGGTCCCGACCTGTTCCCTGGGACCGGCTTTTCATCCCGAGTCCTTTTTTTGAAAGTCACGAGGCCCTGTCAGGGCCCCCCGAGGCCGAAAACGGCGAAAAACCGCCCGTCGTGACCTGTTCATCACCCGAAGGGGTCCGGGGTCATCAGCCCCCTCTTGGCCGCCCCCGAGCCTTCGGGCGCCACCGCCCTGCCAGAACCTGGCCGGGCGAGGCCCCTGCCGCCGCTCGCGGGCGCGCGCGCGCGAGGCCGGGCAGCGCCCAGGAGGGGCACCGCCTCACGGGGGGCCTCCGCCTCTCCTCGAGGAGGCGGGCCCCTCGGGACCCGCCTAGACGCCCCAGAAGCTCTCCTCCTCCTCCTTCTCCTCCTCCTCCTCCTCCTCCTCCTCCTCCTCCTCCTCCTCCTCCCCTCCTCCTCCTCCTCCTCCTCCTCCTCCTCCTCCTCTCCTCCCCGCCCTCCTCCTCCTCCTCCGCCTCCTCCGCCTCCTCCGCCTCCTCCTCCTCCTCCTCCTCCTCCTCCTCCTCCTCCTCCTCCTCCTCCTCCTCCCAGGAGGGCGGCCAAGATCGTCCTATCCTCGAGCCTTGGTCCTCAAGAAGAAAACCGGCGACCCCCCCAATGGCACATTCCCCAAACCTGCGATGTCCTGATGCATTTTCAGTATACAGGGTACCCGGAAGTCGCGACCCCTTCCCCGGGGCTGGTTTTTCCTCCCGAGTTGTTTCTTGACGGCCAGCGAGGGCCCCCCGAGGCTGACGACTGGATAAAAGCCTCCCGTCGAGACCTCTTACGACGCGAGTATGCCTGGGCCCCGCTGCTGGGCCTACTGTGTGCTGCAAGATGTCTCAAGCACCGGTCGAGGCACGCGCTCAGCGTCGGAGACTCTGCACCCGCCCTCCTCTTCTTGAGATGCCTACTCTGTGCGCTACAAGAGATTTCAATCACGAGCCCACCGAGGGCGCCGAGCCGACTCTTGCAAGCTGGAGGTTTGGCAACCTACCCAGACAAGAACGGGAAGCGCCGCTTCTCTGAGCTTGCGCTCGCACGCGCGCATGGACTCGCACCCAGAAAAATGATGCGCAAGTGGTGTGCAGTTGCACAGACTCCCTAGATCCCCTGGTGGTTGCTGCTTCTAGCTTGGGCTTTGTGATTGCTGTGGTTGCTCTAGTCAGCTGTAGTGCGTGGCCTGTGTATGTGTGTGTACGTGTACGTGCGTGTATGCGTATGTGTGTGCGCGTGTGCGCGTTTGCGTGTGCCTGTGTGTGTGCTTGGGTGCATGCGCGTGCGTCTGTGTGTGCGGCTGTGTGCGTGTGTGCGCGCGTGTGTGCAGGGTGTGTGCTGGGCGGGCGGGACGGGTGGGTATTTGGCGTGCGTGCAGGGCGCGTTCTGGGAAGAGGGCGGGGGAGTGCACGGCGTGCGTGCGGGGCGTGTTCTTGGGGGGGAGGGGGGGGGGAACACGGTATGCATATGGTTAATGTGTGGTGTGTGTGTGTGTGTGTGCCAGCATGTGGATATGCATATGCTATGGAATTGTTGTGTCTTATGTGTGAAGACGCTTTGACACGAAAGAACTGTCACAAAACCTCAGTTGTCCAAAACCGCTCTTCCGGAGAACCACAGGCAACGAACGAGTGAACACAGAGATGTTCCGAGATAGCCCATGGCACCCTTCTTTCTTGAGAGCGTTTGTGTTAAAAGCTTGCTACGTTGCCGCTCGCCCTTCGGATCCTTGCTGTGAAGAGCCCTGTTTGTCACCGCTCGCTCTTGGGAGCCATGGTCGTATCAGCTTGTTTACGTCACAGGTCGCCCCTAGGGAGCCACTGTGTTCACTGGTTGCCTGTGGTTCTTCGGGGAGTCGTCATGGCACTTTTTGCTCCCGAAAGCTTTGCTGTTAAGTGCTTCTTACGTTGCCGCAGGCCCTTGTGAGCCTTGATGTTAAGAGCCTGTTTTGCCACCGCTCGCTCGTTGGATCATTGGTCGCACCAAAACGTTTACGTCACAGGTGGCTATGAGGGAGCCACTGTGTTCACTGGTTGCATGTGGTTCTTCGGGGGGTCGCCCCGCCCCAGCACCACATGCAACCGGTGAACACAGATATGGCCCAAAATGGTTCATGGCACCATTCGCTCTTGGGAGCCTTGCTGTGCGGAATGTGTTACGTCACCGCCCGCTCTTGGGAGCCTTGGTGTTAAGAGATTGGTACGTTGGCGCTCGCCCTTGAGAGCCTCGGTGTCGAGTAACGTTTACGTCACCTGGCGGCTGTCGGGGAACGAGAGAGACGGAGGAGTTCGCAAGAGGCGACCTCATATGGTTCATGGCACCCTCCGCTCTTGCGAGGAGACGGGGGGCACCTCAGAGACGGAGAAGAGAGGAGGAGGAGGAGGAGGAGGAGGAGGAGGAGGAGGAGGAGGAGGAGGAGAAAGAGGAGAAGGAGGAGGAGGAGGAGGAGGACGGGGAAGAGGAGAAGGAGGAGGATGACGGAGGAGACGGAGGAGACGGAGTAGAGACCGAGGAGGACAAAACGTCCAACACGGTCCAAAAATATGCACACTGGCCGAACCTGGTGAAAAGATCGCCCTCGGACCATGTCTCGACTCTTCTTGGATCTCCCTCCCGTGGAGGGACACGCCCGCCTCCATCCCCGCGCCAGGCTCCCACCCGCCCCCCGGCGCGCGCCGCCGACGAGTCCTCCGCGGCGGGGGGCGCTCCGCGCGAGGTCCGCGGCCTCTCCGTGCCGTCAGCGGGCCAGCACCGCCCACCCCTGGGCGGGGCGCCAAGGGCCAGCGGCGGCGGCACGCGGGGAGGGTTCCCGAGGGACGCGGGAGGCCGAGGGGCGCCGGCCGAGGTCCCCGGGGGAGGCCGAGGGCCAGCGGCGGCGGCCGAGGGGCGCCAAGGTCCCCGAGGGAGGCTCGGCGGCACGCGGGGAGGGTTCCCGAGGCGGGCATGTGACCTGCGGCGAGGGCGTTGGACACTCCCCGTCGCTCCGATGGGCACCCCGAGCTGCCGGGAGGAGTTCGCGCATGAAGAAAAGATCGAAGCGCCCTCCTGCGAGGTGGGATGCGATCTCGACTCTCGTTGTGCAGCAAGGCACTAAGGCCGTTCGGGGCCATCAAATGCGCATCACCATCACATTCGAAACTGTGGCTACGACCGTGCTGATATTTTGCGTCGTCGGCGAGGCAAGGGAAGGCTGCGCTGGCGGAAAGGCCTAGACGGGGGTGCCGTTGTAGCGAGTGGCGCCACCATGCGAGAAGGGGAGGAAGGGGGTGGGCGCGGCCGAGAGAGGGGGGCGGGAGAAGCGAGCCGCTCACTGGGCATTGCTCGGACGTCCATTCCCTGTGTTTTTGTTTCGGTTTCCTGCGTGTTTTTTTCGCCTAGTGATCAAGAATGCTCCTCGATGGTCCTCGCCGAAGAAATTATCCCGGCAAAGCAACCTAACAGCGATGTGTAGAAGCATATCTGAAAGCATTCCCCTTAAGATTAAGATGAAAGTCCAGTTGTAGAATTCTGCTGTTCTCGCAGTCGTAGTCGCATTCGCGATGACAGTCGCAGCGGCAACGGCAGTCGCAGTCACAGCCTCAGCCTCAGCCTGCCTCAGCCTCAGCCTCAGCCTGCCTCAGCCTCAGCCTGCCTCAGCCTCAGCCTCAGCCTGCTTCAGCCTCAGCCTCAGTCTGCCTTCAGCCTCGGCCTCAGCCTCAGCCTGCCTCAGCCTCAGCCTGCATCAGCCTCAGCCTCAGCCTCAGCCTGCCTCAGCATCAGCCTGCTCAGCCTCAGCCTCAGCCTGCCTCAGCCTCAGCCTCAGTCTGCTTCAGCCTCAGCCTCAGTCTGCCTTCAGCCTCGGCCTCAGCCTCAGCCTGCCTCAGCCTCAGCCTGCCTCGGCCGCAGCATCAGCCTGCCTCAGCATTCAAAATGTGGCCCAGGAATGGAGTTCTGGGAACTGAAGAACACGAAGTGGCCTACAGTTGGCTCCGGGCATTCAAAATCATGCCCAGGAATGGAGTTCTGGGAACTTGAAGAGCACGAAGTGGCCTACAGTTGGCTCCGGGCATCCAAAATGTGGCCCGGGAATGGAGTTCTGGGAAATCGAAGAGCACGAAGTGGCCTACAGTTGGCTCCGGGCATCCAAAATGTGGCCCGGGAATGGAGTTCTGGGAAGTCGAAGAGCACGAAGTGGCCTACAGTTGGCTCCGGGCATCCAAAATGCGGCCCGGGAATGGAGTTCTGGGAGCACCAAGAGCGATTTTGCGAGGATGTCCTAAGCGGTTTCGGCTTCGACGGCAGCCTCCCCGGGTCCCGCCCAGACCCCCCTGAGGAGTCATGATGCTCTCTTTTGAAACCACTAGAAACCTATCAGCAAGAGCTGTTAGGTAAAAACGCACACGTCCGAGCGATGCCAAGCTCAGGGGGACGGGTCACGCGAGGGGGCTGGACGCGGAACCATCGGACGAGGAGTCAGGGGCCCGGGAGAAGGTGAGACTCCCATGGAGGCTCTGCCGTGGGTATCGCCGCCGCCCTCACCAGACGAGGAACCCACCAGGGCCTCGAGCATCCTGGGCTCATTCCTTAACGAACGCACCCACCGCATGGTGCGCGGCCTCAGGGGGGCCGCGGGGAGCCCAAACCCAATCGCGCCAAGCCCGATGCTATCGCATTGCACTCCATGGTCGGGGGGGCACCGGTGGGCCCGCACCAAGAGGTCGCCCCAGCGAAGGGCCACCCTTAGGCGAGGCCGCGAGACGGGTCCTGGACCCCAGGGCTTCCCGCGGGACCTCGGCTCTCCTCCTCCTCCTCCTCCTCCTCCTGCTCCTCCTCCTCCTCCTCCTCATCATCATCATCATCATCATCATCATCAGCATCAGCATCAGCATCAGCATCAGCATCAGCATCAGCATCATCATCATCATCATCATCATCATCATCATCATCATCATCATCATCATCAGCATCAGCATCATCATCATCATCATCATCATCATCATCATCATCATCATCATCATCATCATCATCATCATCATCATCATCATCATCATCATCATCATCATCATCATCATCATCATCATCATCATCATCCCCCTCCCCCTTCCCGTCCTCCTGCCCCTCCGCCTCCTCCTCCTGCTCCTCCTGCTCCTCCTCCCTCCCGAGCCGTGCCGCGACGGCGCTGGGGCTCGAAAACGAAGGAACCGCTCGGAGCCCCCTTCTCTCGGAGCCCCTTGGCTTCGCGGCGACCTGCGCGTGGCCCCTGCCGATGAAGACCCACCAGTGCGCGTGCGGCAGGACGCCGGCCTGCAGGCCGCAGGAGAGCTTCGGGCACGCGAGCTCGTAGCCCTCCTCGGGGGCGGCACGGGGGGGCGGCGGAACAAAAGAATACAGTGGGGGCCCGACCATAAGACACCTTCCACAAGAAACCCCAGGACGCCCATTGGTTTGGGGGGCGTGGGAACGTCACGGCTTCCATGGCAGAACCATCGAAACCCAAGAAACCCAGGGCACTCTGGAGGCAAGCAGGGTGTTTCTTGGCATGGGTCTCCACGGTAGGCCTGGCTTCCACCAGGGGGAGTTCGCCCTGGGGGCAGAGGCAGGTCTTGACCCTTCCCGACGTGGAGGGCACCTCGGGACACCCCTCCCAAGCGCTCCAGGAGATCCAGAGGCGGCCAAGATCGTCCAAGAAATTCCTCGATCCTCCATCCTCGAACCTCGATCCTGCAGAAGGATCCGGCGACCGCCCCACTGGCGACCCCCTCTTGTCGGGTCAGACGACAGGGAGGGATAGCAGAGGGGGGGTCCGAGAATCAGCTCACACGGCAGGTCTTCCCGGCGCATCCTGGCGCCGGATGCGACCAGGCATCGAGGATGTCCCTCGTACTCTCTGGGTTGCTCTGCCCCGCTCCCAGAACCCCGACATCATGATTCTCTCTCAGCGTCGACACCCAAAGTTCTCGACCCATTCCCCAGGACCGCCTGTTCACTCTGAGTCGTTTCCTGGCGGTCCGAGGTCCGCCGGCAAGGGCCCCCAGGGATCGAAGACAGCGATAAAAACCTTCCGTCCTGATTGTTGTTCGTTGGCAGGCCCTCGGCCGGTCCCTGGCGTACCCCACGATCGTGTCGTCGAGCTGGCTCACCGCGGAGTCCAGCTCCAGCTGCGCCGGCGTGCCCTTCTCGGCCCCTCCCGCGCGGTAGGCGCCTGCTCGGCCGCCCCGGCCAAAGGGGGCGTCGGCCAGCCGTCCTGGCCCAGTGTGCGCGGGCCGGGCCGCCCGAGACTGGCCCGAGACTGGATCGGTGAGGCGGGCAGCGGACGTCTTCCCCCCCTCCTCCTCCTCCTCCTCCTCCTGCTCCTCCTCCTCCTCCTCGTCCTCGTCCTCCTCCTCCTCCTCCTCCTCCTCCTCCTCCTCCTCCTCCTCCCCCTTTTATCCCCCTTCCTCACAACCAACTCCTCCCTGTCGCAGCCCCAGACGTGTCGGTGGGGCGGGTCGGGCGTTGCGCCTGGGACAGCCTCACCATTTTCTGATCCGCATACTGCTGGGGGGCTTACCACGGTTTCACGGATAGGGGTGGCTCGTCTTCCGAATGTGGCTCTCGCCGCCGCGCCCCGTACATTCGTCTGATTAAAAGCTCGCAGCAATGTCAAGGATAGGCGGCGGTTCGTTGTCAAAATGTGGCTCTCGCCTGGGCAACGCGCGCATTCGTCTTAAAAAGCTTGCCACCGATTCATGGATGACGGATGACGGGCGGTTCGTTATCAAAATGTGGCTCTCGCCCTAGCGTCGCTCACATTCGTCTTAAACGCGCGCAACAGTTTGTACGATGGAAGACGGGTCATTTTCAAATAGTGGCGCTCGCCTTAGCGCCATGCACACTCGCCTTGAAAGCTTAAAGAGATTCAAGGATGGAGGGCGGTTCGTTTTCATAATGCGGCTCTCGCTCTAGCGCCACGTATGCTCGTTTTCTCCAAGGTGAACAGTTTCAAGGCTTCGTATGGTTGGAGTCCCATGAATGGTGTTCTGGAACGGTTACAGATTGTCAGGACGCAACAGTCACGTTGATTGGCGATGCAGACGTCCCAGAAATGGCGTATGGCAAGATTGAGGATTATCAGAAGGTTGTCTTCCAAAGGGGCATTTCCCGCAGTGAACATTAATTCTTGTATAGGGACTTCTGACGAGGGAATTCGGAGGGAGGGTTTATTGCAACATTGTTGCCTCCTCCTCCTCCTCCTCCTCCTACTCCTCCTCCTCCTCCTCCTCCTTGACACCCGCCCGAAGGCGAGGAGGAGCCCCGAAGTCCCAAGTCGCCCAAAAAAGCCGCAGCGTCGCCACGAGTCCTGACCGAGAGCCCTGGACCCCGCATCGATCTGCGAAGGCTCGGGGGCCTGAACCTGGGCGAGAGCTCCCGGCGCGGAAACCATGCGACGCCATGACCTCCGCGGGGTGTCGGCTGTCCACCTCACCGGCGCAGGTCGGGCAGCCCCGTGGGCCAGGGGAGCAGCCTGCACACGCCCGCCGAGGCGGAGGACCGACGCCCCCCGAGACACGCCCGAGGGCGAGGAGAGGGGGCGGGCAGGCGCCGAGGATCGAGGCTCGAGGACGGGGGCTCGAGGCTGACGATCGAGGACCGAGGATCGAGGATCGAGGCGCGAGATGTGTGGGCGATGCGGCCCCCTCTGCTGCTTTCGGGGGGGGGGGAGGGCTCTTGGGGGCGCCCTCGCCCCCTCGAACGAGGCTGGGCTCCCTCCGGAGTCCCGGCCCCGACCCCTTGGGACAGGTCCGCGGCGCCCACGAGTCAACGACGACGACGACGACGACGACGACGACGACGACGACGACACGACGACGACGACGACACGACGACGACGACGACGACGACGACGACGACGACGACGACGACGACGACGACGACGGCGACGACGGCGACGACGACGACGCCACATTCTGGCCCGCTGCAGGCCCGCTGCGAGCTCGGGGGCCTCACGGCGGTGTGGTGACGGACCGCGCGGTGGCCCCAAGGATCCGACGCTCCCAAAAACTTGGAGCGGCAGGTTTTTCACTGTGGGGGCCATCGCTGGGCCTCGGGAGCGTCAAAAAACGACGCAGGACGAAAAACCGGCCCTGGGGAAGTGGTCCACCCCTCGGGGGCCACGCATCGAAAAAATTGGAGCAGCCGGATGCCTGGTACTTCGGACTCCGCAGCGACCTGACCGCGCGGTCGGTCACCGCAAGGTTTTGGGACCTCGGAGGCCCCGGCCGCCCGAGACATCCTCGGAGAACGACCCAAGTCCCAAGACCGTGCGGTGACCCCGAATCCCCACTGCCTCACCACACGGTGTGGTCAACGCACTGTTTTGGGGGGCCTCGATTCGGGACTCCCCGGGCCATCCAAGCGGGATGCGAAGCTGGTCCCCCAGGGATGAGGTCGAGAGGCCCCTGGGTCTGCGTCACAGAAGGTCGCGAAGTTGGGTGCCCTGCGGGAGGTCTTCGACATCCGATGCCAAGAGCTGTCCGTGACGTGGGCCTCCGTACCTTTTCGGCGGTGGACAAACCTCCCTTTAGTAAACCTGCCCCTAGTGACAACGGCCTGGGACCGAAACCGACTGACCTGGACCCGCAAAAATGACGGCCGCGACGCCCTCTCGCGAACCGAAAACGGCCAATTCCTTAATCGACGTGTCAAGGTAGGAGGTCTGTCCACCCCCGACCTTTGCACCGCACAGCGCGGACCGATGTGCGATCCCACATGAGCGACGAAAGGAAATGGGCCCCACGCGCACTGCCATCGAGACCCCAAGCCGCGGCTTCCGCGGGCCGCCGGCGTGACACACGGCGCGGAGCAGAGATCGCGCACGCGCGACCTTGCGCGGGAAGCTCTAGCGGGAATGCCCGCGCAGACGACCCCCGTCTGCTTCTTCTGCTTTTTATAAAATATTATTATTCGTATTATTATTATGATTATTCTTCTTCCTATGTATTAGTATTATTCTCCTTAGTCTTATTAGTAGTATTATTCTTTTTTATAATTATTACTGTTATTATTATTATTAGTATTAGTATTCGGATTCTTCTTCTTATTATTATTACTGCTATCATTATTATTAATGATAATATTAATATTACTAATATTCGTAGTATTATTAGTATTATCATTATTAGTATTATTAGGTGTGTTGTTATTCTCTTGTTTTGTTGGTATTTTTCTTATTATTAGTAGCATTAGTATTAGGATTACTAGCATTATTCGTCTTCTTATTATTATTCTTCGTCGGTGGCAGCCCATGGGGGCCTTCCATACCATCATGTCGGCTTTTGCGAATCGGCGCCAGTCGACGCTGCATCGACGCTGATCAATGCTAGATCGACGCGAATCGAAGTCCCACCAGCCCTCTGGGCGTTCGTGGTCTAGGGCGCTTCCTCTTTCAACCCCCTTTTCTTCCCCTTCGGGGAGGGGTTTATCACTGTTCCATGTATTAACATACACCTCCTCCCCCTGGCGACTGGGAGCCAACCAGGGACGATGTGGCCCCCGAGCCTCACACCATCCCTCGTAAAAAAAAACATGCAAACACACACTCTGCTTCCAAATTCGGAGCATGCGCGCAGCGAACCCGATGCGGCCTCTCCCCACCATCCCTGTCAACAAAACAATACAGAATACACTTGGCGGCGGCGGCGGCTGTGGCGGGGGACGCGGCTGCGGCGGCTGCGGCGGTGGCGGCGGCGGTGGCGGCGGCGGCGGGGGCGGGGGCGACGGCGGCGGCGGCGGCGGCGGCGATGGCGGCGGCGGCGGCGGTGGCGGCAGCGGCTGCGGCGGCAGCGGCTGCGGCGGCGGCGATTCGGTAACGGGGGCGACGGCGGCGGCGGCGGCGGCAGCGGCGGCGCGGCAGCGGCGGCGGCGGACGGCGGCGGCGGGCGACGCGGCGGCGGCGGACAGCGGCGGCGGCGGCGGCGGCGGCTGCGGCGGCGGCGATTCGGCGGCGGCGGCGACGGCGGCGGCGGCGGCGGCGGCGGCAGCGCTGCGGCGCAGCGGCTGCGGCGCGGCGATTCGGCAGCGGGGGCGACGGCGGCGGCGGCGGCGGCGGCGGCGGCGGACGGCGCGGCGGCGGCGGCGGACGACGGCGGCGGGCGACGCGGCGGCGGCGGCGGCGGACAGCGGCTGCGGCGGCGGCGGCGGATTCGCCCCCAGTAGCTGCCCATCCAAAGACGACTGCTGAATATGCTGCGGCTCGGGCCAGGCTTGGGTGCTACGTATGTGTTGGGAGGGCGGGTGGGAGTGAGTGGACGGGGGGGGCCGCGACGCGTTGGAGCGTCCAAGATGGCCCAAGATGGCTCCAAGAGCGCCTCGGAGAGCCCAAGACGACCTCCAAGATGGCTCAAGATAGCGTAAGATGCCTCAAGATGGCACCCAAGATGCTCCAAGAGGCCCCAAGACCGTCCCAAGACGGCTCCAAATGGCCAAAGAGCTCCCCAAGGACGCCCCGAAGAGGCCAAAATCCTTCCAAAATCTACGGAAATCAATGTGCCTTGCTTTCTCGCCTTTTCGCTTCCGATGGCCATCCGAGGCCTCAAGATGGCTCCAAAATGGCCCAAGACGGCCCGAAGAGCGCCCAAGAGCGCTCCGAGAGCGCCCCAAGGGCGCACCAAGAGGCAACTTATAGGGCTCCCGAGGGGGGAGGCTACTTGAGGCTCCCCTCTTTTTTGATCGATATCCTCCAAGATGGCCCCAAGAGCGCTCCCAAGGCTCCCAAGAGCGCCTAAGAGGGCCCCAAGAGGCGCCCAGGAGGCCCCAAGAGGCGCCCAATAAGCCTCCAAGAGGCTCCCAAGAGCCCCCCCAGCGGCCCCAAGAGGCTCACCGAGGCACCCGAGACGCTCCAAGAGGCCCCCGGGACCGCCAAGAGGCCCCCTAAGACGCAAGAGAGGCCCAAGAAAGCTCCAAAACGGCCCCAAGAGCGCCCAAGAGTGTCCCAAGCGCGCTCCAAGAGGGACCCTTCCTCTGCGTGCTGTCCACTTCCCTGATCGAGGCAACTCCTCTGGGTATCGTCTCTGGATCGGCTGGTGGGGTTACTTTTTCGGTCGCGTCCGCCAGCGGAAGCGCAGGCGGAGTCAGAAGCGCTCCAGGACACGGCAGCGGCCCAATTAGCTACTAAACGCACCACGGGACGGCCAGGACACGGCAGCGGCCTAATTAGCTACTAAA